CCTGGAAGTTGTGAGCCACTGTTTTCCATAGAAACCTGGCTATAGGGCTGTTTGTACCTTGAGCTGAGTCAGGTTATTAAAGATGAGGCCTGAGAAGTGGCTTTCCTGTGAATCATCAGACAGGCGCAGCAGGGACAGCTTAGTTAGGAACTGTGGGGTTTTGGGGAACTGCAGACCTGTTCTGTTGGCTCCAGTAGTGAGGCTGCTGGTTTCCACGGCCATTGTGGTTGTGAGGCTGTGTGTTTCCAAGGCAACCGAGGTGCTAGAAGGAGGGGAAGGGATCAGAGCAAGTGAAAACATGGCAAAGTTGGCCATTCTTGCCAAGATTCAGGCATTGTGGAACAACTGCTCCTTGGATTTCTGCAAACCTTTATTTGATTTTCAGAAATCTTGAAAAAGTTGATTCTGAGAATTTTTGGCAGTGTTTTTCTTGAATTTACAGGTGAGCCGATTTTAGAGTTCTTTAGTTTCTTTAGCCTACCATTTCAGAAATGCTTCCATTTATCACCTGGGAATCAACCCCTGGGGTGCTGTACCACTGAGCTATATTCCCAGACCTTTAAAAAAAAAAAATGCTAAATGGCCGAAGCTGGCCTTGAACTTGTGATCCTCCTGCCTCAGCCTCCTATGTTGCTGAGATTACAGGTATGAGCCATTGTGCCCAACTAACTTTATTATGGACCCTTTCCAAGCCTGACAAAAGAACAGTTAATAATGTTATGATCCACCCATGTGCCCTTATCCGGTTCCAATATGACCTATACTAGCCAATCTCTTTAGCTGTCTACTTGCTCCTTACTGTTTTCTTTAGGATATTTTAAAGAAAATCCCAAATGTTATATTTTATCCATGTTTTTATTATTTTTATTATGTTTTGAGATGGAGTTGCCCAGGCTGGTCTTAAACTCCTGGGCTCCAGTGATCACCTGTGTCAGCTTATAGCTGAAGACCTACAGGTCCCACCACCACGCCTGGTTTCCATGTTTTATTCATGATGTTCAGTATAAACAACATTCATGTGAATGATGAGGTTTCACTGAAACTTTAAAGGAGAATGTGGAACTAAATGCTAAGCCAGGGCTCAGGTGCTTGGGAACTGTTGTCCCTGTGCCACCACATGCCTTGGGACACCTCATTTCTTTCACCAGTTTTCCCAGCTTACTCTTTAGGTTAAATAGCTCACTGCAATATTCTTAGGCCTTCATATTGATAAGAATGTGTTATTTATTTACTTTCTCTTTTCTTATTTTTGATCCTTAGTTCTTTTTGCTAATGATATATAATCTTAAATATAAATTTAGGTTATTCAAATACTTGTATTAATTTATTTTTAATCATCAGAACCTAAACTAAAATTTATTAATTAAAACATTTTTAAAATTAATTAAGTTAAAAAGTCTTATAAGTTCTCAGACCCTGTAAGATTGGCCTAGATAAACACATTCAAATAATTCCTAGTTGTTTATGGAAGTGTGTGCTGGTGGATATTAACTAGCACAACCTTTTACTAGGGCCATTTTGTGATATCTGTCAAAAATAAAAAGTTTTGACCTAGGTATTCTTCAAGGAATGTATCCTACAGATAGCATTGTGCAGTTCTAAAACTGGTAAAATATGCGAGTGTGTTCTTTGAAGAGCACTTCTGCAAATAACCTAATATGCCCTGAGTATCTCTTAAATGGAAAGATGTCTAAGATATACACCTTAATGAAAAAAGTGTGGTCATGAAGCAGTAAGGTACACTATTCATGGGAAAAGTTGTACCACGGTTTTTATATCAAGACCCAGTTTGTGTGTGAAAGTTAGATTGCATGCATCACTTTGGAATTGTGTTTGGTGACTGATAACAGACTAGAAATAAAGTAACTTATATTCAGTTTTTAATGCTGCTTGGGGTGGCAGGCTAGGGCTGGTGTCCCAGGAACCCAGGCTTCTGTCTTTCCTTTCTATCATCCTGAGTAATGATTTCCATCCTCAAGATATCCCCTGGGCTTTTATCAGTTATGAAGAATAAAGAGGGATAAAAGGCCAAGTAGTACCTCTTCCAGATGATAAGTCCTCTCCAACAGCCTTCCTAGAGATGCAGTATGGCCCTTCAAGTTGCATCTTAGTGACCAGTACTTAGTCATATGACCATGCCCAGCTGCACACAAAGTAGAAAACTGTGGTATTTTATTCTGGGTAGCAATCAGGGGAACTTCTTGTCCATGAGGAAAGGGACACTGGGTGTCGGGGATAAGCACAGTAGAGTCACTATGTAACCATGCCTGTGGGGAATGGCACAGATGGCTGGAAGGATGCATAAGAGCTGTAGGCTGGTGCCCCCTTGTATTCTGGCTCATGGTTTTAGAGTTTTCAGACTATGGTCATCTGCCTCCATTGCTTTTAGGCCTGTGGCAGGGCGGAAACATGGCAGGAGGGAGTGGAGGAGAAAAGCTGCTCACTTCATGACAGCCAGGGAGCAAATAGAGAGAGAGAGGCTGGAGGCAAGATATAGTCTCCCTTCAGCTAGATCCACTTCCTTTGGTTTCCACCACCTCCCAGGAGTCCATCACTAGATTAATCCACGGATGAGGTGAGAGCTCTCATGCCCACTCACTCCCCTAAAGGGAGTGGCTGCTTTAGGGACCAATCCTTCAACACAAGAGCATTTGGGGGAACATTCCAAATCTAACCATGATGTTTATTAAGAAAAGCATCAAGGCTTACAACTTATCGTCAGTAGTTTGTCATAGTGTAGTTGCTAATGTTTTTCTTGGTAACTGTGAAATAATACAATAACTTTTTAAGAATGCTTTCGGGAGTGAGTCTGAATTGTCCTGGTTTAGGATTAATTCTCCCAGAAGGTAAGGGGCTGGATGCATTTTGAGTTTTTTTTTTTGTTGTTGTTGTTGATTGTATTATGTTTGTGATTTTTGCATTTAAGAAGTAAAACTGGCTTTGAGATATACATTCTCAATTCTCAGACTTCCCAGAAGTCATTATTAAGAACTTTTAACTCATGTTGAGCCTGATTGTCACTGAGAAATTTTTTAAGCAGTAGAATTGGAAGTAGTGAAAATAAATACTAAGTATAATATGTATATTTCATTAGTATTTGCGTGTTCATATATTCTTAAGGATTTATATATGTGTAGGATGATGTACAATAATCATCTGATATGACTAAATTTTATTAATTTAATGAGGGCTTTTAGAATTTATATATAACAATATTGTTATGAAGTCTTTTCTCACTCAGGTAATATGTTTTTACATTTTTTTTCCCTGGCGGGAGCCATGGACCTTAAGCCCAGGAGCACTTTACCACTAAGCTACATCTCCATTCATTTCATTTATTTTTTAAGTTTTGAGGCAGGGTTTTCCTAAGTTGCTCAGACTGGCCTTGAACTTGAAATCCTCCTTCGTCAGCCTCTGGAGTCACTAGGATTACAGGCATGTGCCAACTGGCTATTGTTTTTATATTATTAATGGATTTATCATTTCATGTCACCTCATACACAATATAAGCTATGAACATGTTTTTCAGGGTGCTGTTTTTGAAATGCAGTTTCATGCTTCTCTACATCGTTTCTTTAAAACAATCTAGTGGTTGTTTGAAATATTTATACTGTCCCAGTGAATTATTATAAATAACTGTGTTTTTCAGCTTGATCCTCATGTAGTGTTTATGGGACACACACTAATGTAAGGTACTCAGTTGTTATATTACAGATAAGATGGTATGTTCCTGACTCTGTAGGAACTTAAAATTGTTAGTAAACAGCAGACTTGTCCAGAATAAATAAAGCCAAAGTCACCTCTCTGCCTGGGGAACCCAAATTCCAGTAAGTTTAATGGTCATTTTTGTGTGATTATGTCCACATAAGGGTGTGCCACCCTGTGTCTCTCCTGATTGATATACAGTATGTCCTTTAATTTTTGGACATACACTTTTTTTTTGAGCTGGGAAAACAACAACAACAACAACACATAGAGATTTTTATGGCTGTAATTATCCTTTTTTGAGGCATAGGCCCTTTTGAGAATCTGATGAAAGATGTGGACTCTACGTTGCAAAATAAAGGGAGTGTATATGCAAAAAATCATATATATGTGTGTATGTATATATGTGTGTGTATGTATATGTTGTGCATATGTATATATGTGTGTGTGTGTGTGTGTGTGTGTATATATATTTGTGTGTATGTATAATATATATAATTTATGGGGTTCCTGGACCGTTTAAAGCCATCTGATATGACTAAATTTTATTAATTTAATGAGGGCTTTTAGAAGTTATATATAACAATATTGTTATGAACAGGGAAGTTATGATCCAAGTAAACTACTCATTCTATGGATGGTAAACAGAGGGCTGGAAAGATTTCCTGTTTCCTCAGGTGGTAGAGCAGCCTCTTAATCTATTGCTTATTTACCAAGATTCTAGAAGTGAGTTGAAATCTCCGAAATACAGAGATTCATCATTCTCCTCTACCACAAAATATGTATATTCTCCCCAAAGGCCATACCTAATGAGAAGTATTGAGAGATTGGAAAATAGAGTCAATGAAGATTCCCTCAAGTCTTGGTGTAAATTAATCTTATGACTCAAGCATCCTCGTATGCCAAAAATATGAGTAGGAAACTGTGCCCGGTGGGATGGATCTCACCCGGGCTGATTTGGAGGCTGCAGGCTGCTGGCACGGTGGCCTTATTTTACAACAGTCTCCATCTCCCTTGCTTGCTCCTCCTGAGTGTCGCAGCCCCATGGCCCACCCTAAGCCCACGCCATCTAATATCTGTGGAATATTTATTTCTAGTAGCTATCACAGTCCAGGTGTGCAGGATAAAGTAACCCATCCAGTGAGAGCATGCATTGCAAAAAATAGGAATTTTCAGGTACGGTCTGTATTTTGTGTTTTTAGTGGAATCGGAGGGGTCTGACATGTTTCCCTTGTCACTTGTTTTGAGCAGCTGTCATCTGGCACAATTAACTTTTTCCTCCTCTTCCTTGGCAGCGTCTCCTGGGCAGTCAGCAGCAGTCTTCTGTCCAGCTCTGGGTCTCCTTTGGTCGGAAGCCCATGCGAGCAGCCCAGTTTGTCACAAGACACCCTATTAATGTGAGTGAGGTCTGCTGGAGGGTGGGAAGAAGGCTCACTGCCTCCCTATAAACGCCCTGGGTAGGATGTCCTGTGGATGTCCTGCTGGGTGGGTATTTTATGGAGGCTCCCTGAAGTCACTTTCCAGAGTGGTCTCTAGAGAGAGCCATTGTGCTTTGGGCATATTGGTCTCTTGTTTCCCACTTCACTGTTTGAAGTGGAACTGAACAGGAGCCTTAATTTGCTTGAAGTGGAGTAGGATTGGCAGAGGGGTTGGAGTCAGAGTCAATGGCCTTGTGTGCTAGTACTGAAGCAGGGGGAAGTTTGGGCACAGCCTTTATTTATTAAGTACCTGCTGTATTGCCTACAGATGGCTCCGTTCCCAAAGGGATAGATTTGGGTCCTATTTGGTCGAAATGGAGAGGTTGGAGAGACCAAGAATAGAGCAGATGAGTAAACCATATATTATAGTCGTAGTGCTCCACCATCCAGTACGATAACAGGGATTGATAGGAAAGCCCAGCACAGCGTGTCGGGGGCTGTTGGGCTAGTGACTGCAGGGAGGAGGTGGTGACATTGGGAGGCCTTGGCATTAGCATTTCACTTTGAGAAAGGTTAGTGGTTCGGGGGTTACGTAATGGAGAAGAGTCTCCTCAGCACCTTGCTAGTTTCTGTGGGCTCTGCCTTCCTTTGTCCCCTCAGGGAATAGAAAAGGAAATGAAATGCACATTAATCTACAATGTACCTTATACTGATGAAAGGTCTCTTGGGATAAAGAGGGAGACCTTATTACCTGAAAAGAGGTTTCTAGGTCACTTATGGAGTTCAGAGGCCCGCTCTTTCTCTGTGCTCCATTTATTTGCCAACAAGGGGCCTGCTCCAGCTGCAGACCAGCCTCAGGTTCTCCAGAGGAAAGTTGTTGGAGCTTGTTTGCCAAGATCGGGGAGCTTTCTCTGGGCTCTAGGCCCACATTCGTCACTGGGACTTTTGGAAGTCATTGCTTTCATGTGTACAGAAGGCCCACAGGGCGTAATCATTTTTCTGACTTGTGTATTTCTTGACTTTTGATTCCTAAGGAATATTACATCGCAGATGCCTCAGAGGACCAGGTGTTCGTGTGTGTCAGTCACAGTAACAACCGCACTAATTTATACATCTCGGAGGCAGAGGGGCTGAAATTCTCCCTGTCCTTGGAGAATGTGCTCTATTACAGCCCAGGAGGGGCCGGCAGTGACACCTTGGTGAGGTAAGGAGACCACAGCTGCTCCCCTGCCTTCTTCGACAAGTGCAGCTGCCAACTTCTCTCTAGTTGAGTACTTTTCAGTGTTAGCTGCTCGCACAGACTCACCTGGGGGCATTTCCAGAGACCCCGATGCCTGGCTCACATGCCCAGAGATTACCATTGATGGGGTCTGGGTGTGGTTTGGTTTAAAGATTTTTTAAAAGCGCCCCCCGGTGATTCTTATGTGCAGCCATGGCTGAAAGTTGCTGTTCTGTGTGACACTGAGGGGCACAGCTACTTTGTTCATTAACCATTCCCTTGGGCTCCCTTCATTCAGTTATCTGGTTTTGTGGTCTCTGAGCCAATGGGAAAGAGCACTTAGAAAATAACATCAAGTCAGAGAGAGCTGGCATATGTGGCTGTGTGGCCTTGCCTCTAGGTGACTCAGGTTCATTGACATCATTACTCCCTTTCTTAAAGGTAATTGCAAGGTGGTATTTTGTAGGAAAGGCACCAACGTCATTGATCCTCTGTCCATAAATCACATGTGTGGAAATGATTTGCAGTCCTATCTGGGTCTTCTCTGTCAACTACACTCACCAAGGAATCAGGGGACGGAGTAGACTTGGCAGGGATGTGTAGATTTTCTTCTTCTTCTTCATCTTCTTTTTTTTTTTTTTTTGCCGTGCTGGGGATGGAACCCAGGGCTTGCTCTGCTAGGCAAATACTCTACCCCTGAATTATACCCCACCTTCAGTAGATTGTTAAGTTCCTTTCTGTGCCATAAATCCATTTGTCATGTGAAAACCTTTACAGTTGTGATAGGCTTGTTCTCTGTTCTTGGAAAAAGCCATCTGTGAAGCTCACTGACTGGTCTGGGGTGACATCCACCAGGCCAGAGGACATGACTGTGCTTCCCGCTCCCTCTCCTTGTGCTGGCCAGTCTTTTTTGTTACCAGTTTGTGCCATAGCATGCTGCGGCTGTGTACCAGATGGTGTTCTAGGTATGGCAGTGAAGTGTTGTGGATGATAGTAAAAAAATCAACCAGGTCCTTGTTCCACGGAGCTTATATTCTGTTTGCAGGGGACACAGGATATGAACAAATGTGTCATCTGTTTGGTAATGTGCTGGGAAGAAAAATAAAGCAAGATAAGGGGCAGGGAACGAGGAGGGCATTATTTTATACAGCCTGCTCTGGGATGATGAATTTGAGCAGGTGCCTGAGTTATGGAGGGAGGAAGTCAGCTAGGCAGACCCTAGGGGCAGGGGTGGGGGGAAGAGTCCCACAGGCAGGGGCCAGCAAGTGCAGTGACCCAGAGGTGAGGCTGCAGTGCTGTACCTTAAGAGATGGGGAAGGTCAGGATGCTTCCAACAGCTAAAGAAGGGGACAGAGAAATAAGGCACAGGATTCAGGGAGCAGGGGCTCAGATGGTGCAGGACTTCAAGGGCATAGAAAATACTATTTTTCTGATAGGTGGGATGATAGCATCAGATTTATCTTATTAATTTTTTTTTCTATTTAAAATATTTGAGAACTGTGTTCTATAAAGAAAAATGCAAAAGACAAATGAATGCATTATAAATAATTTTGAGCAAATACCTACATGCTTTGTTTTACAGAAATTATGCTTAGTGCTGTGTGGAAATTTGACTACTATGGGGACCAGGGCAGGAATAGGAAGACTGATTGTGAAAAGTTGTCCCAGTTCAGGCCAGTGGGGATTGATGTTGGCTGGTCCCAGGGCGGTCTCAGTGGAGAGTACAGAAATGGTTTGATTCTAAATATATTTTGAAAATAGATCCACAGATCTGCTGATGGATAGGAAGAGGTCTGGGAGAAGGAGTAGTAGCCAGGGGACCTCTGCTGCTTGGCCTGAACAGGGATAGGACAATGATGACAAGGTGAGGCATGGAGGCCGGTGAGGAGCAGCTGTGGAAGAGATGTCCTGAGTTCCGCTTTGTACCTTGGTTGGAGGTGCTTATTAGATACCCTTCGTTGGTCTTTCTACCCAGTCTGCAGCAGTGCTTTTCCACTTCCTGTTTCTCTTTTGGAGCTACTGTTATCTTTCATTCATTCCATTTCTCCCCCTGATATAGACTTCTAGGTTATTATTTGTTATTTAATGTGTTATAAGCCATTCCTGCCCTGAATCATCCTGACATTCAGATTGTCTTGGTTTGGTTGGTGGCGGTTTCCAGTTTCTTCTGCCTGGCTTCTGTGTATTTTTATTTTTTAAAATAAAATGAAATTCACGTAACATAAACCGAACCATTTTAAAGTGTGAACAATTCAGTGGCATTTAGTACATTTACAGTGTTGTACAACTGCCATCTCTAATTCTAAAACCTTTTCATTTCTTTAAATGAAAACCCTCATTAAGTACTTTCTCCCCTTCTTCCAGTCCCTGGCAACCATCATTTAAATTTCTGTCTCTGTAGATTTACCTTTTCTGAATATTTCATAACAGCGGAATCATACAACAACCTGAGAGCCTCTGTGGCTGGCTTCTTTCACTTAGCATAACGTTTCCAAGGTTCATTCACACGTAGCATATATTAGTACCTCGTTCATTTTCATGGGTGATTCATATTCTCTTTACATTTTTGTATAATTAAAAATCATAAAGCACTATCCCTTGGGCTTTTTTACCGACTCTTTAGTTTCTTCCCTACCTTCAGGAGCCTCAGACTGTGCATGAGGTACATCACAGCTTGCCAATGGCTTCTTCATCCTCCTCATTGGTCCAGATATTCACGTGATATTTCATGGTAGGGCAGAGTTGAAGCCAGAAGCTGAAGAGATAGGCTCCCCAGGAAGCAGTGACCTCATTTCTGTGGCCGTAGGACTTCTTTACACATGCAGATGGCCCTTTGTTTGTGGCAAAGTTTCTTCTTACCCTGCCTGAGCCAGCAGTTAAGAAATTGATGACAGATTCATGTCAGGAGTCATGGACCAATATCCTGCTCTGCTTGCTTACTCTTCTCTTACTTTATCTCAGGGCCACAGGGGTTCAGATTTGCTTAGTCGAATGACTTTTTGTCAGCTGTACCTCAGTCTCTGCCAGGTGAAATGGAAAGGATGAATTGGCAGATGGCATGGGCAGGCTGGTTTAGAATAAACTTCCGCGGTTATTCAAAATGAACCAGAGGAACTGGTTCTAATTTCCTTCGAGAACTAAGGAAAGAACTCTTAATAGGGGATTACCCTGGCATTTGTAGGATGTGCTGAGTAGGAATTTCGTAGAAAGCCACAGCTAGATACAGGACTCTTTGGAGGAACTTATGTGCTGATCACATGTCAGGCCTGTTGGGGGCGCCTTAAGGAGGCGCGCTGGCTCTCCTGGGTGGGAATGGCTACCAGTGTGTGCGTTTGGCACTGAGTATGGTGGAAGGGGACCTGGTGAGCTGCTTGACAAGTCTTGGCCCAGGTCACTCTGGAAGGAAGAGCAGAAGTGCTCTGGTGAGGACAGTGAGGATAAGATGGAAGACAATGGACTGTCAGAGAGAATACTGGGCGTGAGGCAGCTTATACCAAAGAAGGTCAAGGGAGCCAATGCCAGGATGGGCTGCACTGACGCAGAGAGGTTGTGAGGCTCAGGACTTCCGCTTGGAAAAAAAAAAAAGACTCCAGGATTATGACAGGGGGAAGAAGCAGGCTTATCTGACGAAAAAAACTCAGACCTCCCAGATGTGGGAATGAAGCCAGTAAATCTCAGAATGGTGGGTTCCATGATGATAGACTCAGAAGCAGGAGAGCTGAGGTAAATAGAGAGCAGGGGGACATAGGCCTTCAGCCACTTCCAAGGAAGTAGCCGGAAGGGGCTTAAGGAGTCCCGTGTCAGAGAATTTGGTCTCAACTCTGGCATTTTACTTAGGGTCGTGCTCCGTCTGCTGTTTCAAAGTGACTTTGTTGCAGTGCTTATTTCTGGTTTCCTACCTCAGAGGTTGGAGGGCACATCTCCCTGTCTGAGGTGACAGCGCAGTCTTCCAGTTGAGGAGATTTGCGTGGCAGATGATGGGGAGAAAACACTTCTCTGTGTTATCATGTCGCCCAGTGGCTCAAGACCCCTGAAATAAAGTGCATGGTTCCAATTTTAAAAGCCAGTGGTAAGTCGTGGTTACCACTTCTCAGAGACCTCTTATATTTGCAATGTGTGTACCATTGCAAAACCCCTTTCCAGGAAAATCACAGTGTCCTAGCATAGCAATTGAAGGCCTGAGGGTCTTATTGTATGCTTCCGTGTTAACAAGTACTACCTCAGACTTTCTAGTACCTTCCTTGTTAATATGCTGTGATGTTTTGGGAAGTAGTTGACATGCTGCTGGGCTTCCTGACAGAAAAGCTTTGTGGTCATCTATCATCAGGGTACTGGACACCCTAATAAGTACCTGGACAGTGGCTATGTAACCCTTAGCTGTGTTTCTACAGATTGGGTTAAATGGTAAGCTGAGCATTGTAACTGGTGTCTTTTTCAAGTCTGACTTAATGTTTCCTATTTGTCAAGCCTCACTGGTGGATTTGGGTCAGTTTCAATAGTGAAGAAATAGATGTGCTTTTTACACCAACTTTAATGGTATCTTCATCACTGTAAAGCCTTGGTTAGGAATTGTTGATCAATCAGATAAGCATCTTGGCTCTTAAAGTTAAAAAAAAATCACTGTTTAAAAAAGAGTAGACTATACAGCCATTAAAAAAAAAAATAGAGTATGGTACATGTTACTACATGAGTGAACCTCTAAACATTATGCTGGGTGAAAGTAACCAGGTATAAAGTATCATATATAACGTAATTCCATTTATATGAAATACCCAGACTTGGCAAATCCATGGAGACAGAAAGCAGATCAGTGGTTGCCAAGGCCTCGGAAGGAAAGGGGAAATGGACAGTGGCTGCCAATAATGAAAATGTCCTAGAACTAGGTGGCAATGGTGGGTATACAATGTGGTGAAGGTGTTTAATGCTGCTGATTTGTATATATTGAAATGTTTGGTTAAATCGTATGTTGTGTACAATAAACAAAATACCAAGCAAATATCTGTTCAGGTTCACCGTTGTTTATTTTCTCTTACTGCAGGTATTTTGCAAACGAGCCATTTGCTGACTTTCATCGCGTGGAAGGGTTACAAGGAGTGTACATTGCTACTCTGATTAATGGTTCTATGAACGAGGAGAACATGAGATCAGTCATCACCTTTGACAAAGGAGGAACCTGGGAATTTCTTCAGGCTCCAGCCTTCACAGAATATGGAGAGAAAATCAATTGTGAGGTATAGATGTTTTAATCTTGTTTGACTTTTTAATACAAGGATAGAGCTCTGATCTGTAGTTATTTCCTACATCTAATATTTATTGGAAACATGCAAGATCACGTAGTCTTCCATTGATACCCTGTGAAGCAAACTTTTATCTGTATTTCCATCTTTGCTGGTCCCAGACTCTGCACCATATGGTATGTCATAGTGAACTCACAAGGCGGGGGGTGGTGGATATTTAAATATAAGTGATTTTTTATTTTATAATAATAATAATTTTTTTTTTTTTTTGGTGCTGAGGGTTCAACCTAGGGCCTTGCACCTGCTAAACTATACTCCCAGTCCAGTATTTTAAAGTTTTGAGGGAAAACATTGTGATTCTCAACATCTGTTAGACATATGAATTACTTGAGCAACTAGCTTGAGTTAGTTCACAGTTTCAGCATTAGGTTATGTTTTATTTCTTTTGGTGACAACATATCTTTGGGAATAAAAAAAATCAGGTGAGAAAGTCAGGGTAGAACAAGACACAAGGGTAGTTAATGCCCCAAATGATTCTAACATTTGAGCAGTTGTGCCATGTTCAATAGGTACACTCATTCCGTTAATAGGTAATCGTGGTTATTTAAAAATGAAATAGAAACATGGTGTGTTCTTCCAGTTTACATGTGCTATTGTTTCATAAGTTTTTTGGACTTAACTATGTAAAAAACAAGTTGGAATTTCTTTTGCTATTAAAAAATTCCTGATCCGGGTGCGGTGGCACACACCTGTAATCCCAGCTGCTCTGGAGGCTGAGGCAGGAAGATCATGAGGTCAAAGCCAGCCTCAGCAACTTAGCAAGGCACTAAGCAACTCAGTGAGACCCTGTCTCTAAGTAAAATACAAAATAGGGCTGGGGATGTGGCTCAGTGGTCGAGTGCCCCTGAGTTCAATCCCTGATACCCTGCCCTGCCTCCCCCCACCAAATTCCTGAAACACTAGTTGTCCTTCAAGATTCTTTGGGGACCTCTTGTGTAAAGTTATTATTTCTATGAAAGGAGTTTTAAAATTTCTCTCTGAGTATAATTCAGAGATTATTCAGTATTTCCTACCTGTAGGCCTGTCTGAAAACTTAAGAATGCCAAAATATATCATTTGGTTCCATTAAGTGTAGACTGTGCCCCTGGCTTTAAGTGACCCCCTAATACCTCTCTTCCCATTTCACCTAGATCCCTTAGAAAATGGAAATGGATCTTGGGTGTGGGCAGAAAGAACTCAGAAAAAATAAAAGTGCTCATTTTTGGAGAAACTATAACATTTTAATTCAATTCAGTTGGATTTTCTGATTTTGTTAGTCCTTGGTGAACTATGTTGAGTCTTCTCTAGTCTGTCTGTGACCCTTGAGAAAATGCTTTTGGAGACTCTGGCCTTAGAATGTACTTCTTGATTTTTCTTCCCTTTTTGGCAACAGGTTTCCATTTATTACATCAAATCTAATTTTAGCAAGAGGCAAGCTATAAACGGATATACACACATTACTAGGAACTGAACCTACCTCAGTAGTGTCTTACAACCTCAGTAGCCCGGCACAGTGCTGCTGTGGATGGGGCTGGGATAATTTTGAGCATGCCGTGCATGCCAGAGTGTCAGAACTTGGTGTTTTAAAAATTCATCTTTTTAATTCCTTGACTGATCAATTTATGAACTATAGGACAATTAATCATCTTTTAGTTTCTACTTCTGAGTTTAAGTGAGGTATTAGATTTCTGTCACTGTGACAGAATGCCTGAGAAAATCAGTGTATAAAACAGAAAGATTTATTTTGGCTCATGGTTTCAGCTCATGATCACTTGGTACCTACTCTTTGCCTTGTGCTGAGGCTGAACATCATGGTGGGAGCATGTGGTGGAATAAGCTGCTGATATTATGGGGACCAGGAAACAAGGAACAAAAATGAGAGAGAGCAAGAGGCTAGAGTCCCCAAATGCCTTTCAATGGCACACCTCCAGTGTGTAACTTTCTTCCACTAGGTTCTACCTCCCAAAGGTTGTACCTCCTTTCTAGTAGCAACACAGGCTTGTGCCCAAGCTTCTAGCACATGGTCTTTGGTGGACATTTTAGATCCAAAGCATAACAGGTGGTGAAAAGAACATACAGGAATGGTTAAAGTCTGATTGTCCAAAGATACAGAAACACGTTCAAGAGTAGACTTCATTGTAGGCAAAACAATGTAAGCCCAAAAAGGTGGAGAGAGTAAATATATCTTTGAGACCCAACCTAATTTGGTCCAGTTTCCATTGGCCAAACTGGGAAGCTAGTAAGATGGATATTTGTTCTCTCTTTTTGTGACAAAAGTAAATGGATCCAGCAAACCTTGCCACACTTATTATTTGTGCCGTAAACACCTGCAGAGTTCTCCTGTTCAGAACACTGGACACATTTCAGTAACCCTGAGTATCCACTTTCTGGCCAGGAGAATGAGGCACGGCCATATAGCAGAAGCCTTATCCTGGTGGTTTACAAAAGAACTATGAAAATGTGGGCACGAGCGATGGAGGCCAGCTTAAATCACTTGAAGCCTTGCCCTGTACAGCCACATCTTTGTAAAATGTAGAACACCCTTTACCAATGTAATGTGCATCTTTGACATTCAGATATCGTATTTTGTACTTCTGGGAGCTTATCTGTGGGACTTGATGACTTGTGATTCTTGTTTTTTCTTCTGACAGAATTACTGGAATCATATTTGAAACTCCTCTCCCCTGACTTAGAAAATAAATACCACAACATCATTTCACTTCTCTTTAACTCTGAGTCACTTGAGAGGATCTCTGGGTGATACAGGGAGATGGGTATCTTTCCTGTCGACCTCAGTTAACGTTGATTTATAAATGTTATTCCCTGAGAGTCTTACGGAGTTCTTAAATTATTTTTTTCAACCAGGAACATTTATGTGGATGCAGATGACCCGCTCTGTCTGGGTGGCGGTGTGTGTGAGAACATAGCTGGGCTGTGAGTTTGGTTTCCTCAGGGCCAGGCCTCCTGGTTCTGGGTCAAGCCCTGAGGTCCCCACCCAGGCCTCTGGGTTTGCAGGAGATCTAGGCAACATGTTACACACTGACACCACCTGCAACTTTATTTTGCAGCTTTCTCAGGGCTGTTCCCTCCACCTGGCCCAACGCCTCAGTCAGCTGCTCAGCCTCCAGCTCCGGAGAATGCCCATCTTGTCCAAGGAATCAGCCCCTGGCCTCATCATTGCCACGGGTAATGTTTTGTCTGTCTTGCCTGTTCTCACAGGGGCCTCTTTCGGCTGGTTATGTGCAGCCCCATACAGAGTGGTCACCCACATCTCCAGCAGTGCCCACTCTGGGTAGTTTTAAGACATTCTTAGTTGCTAGATAGTTCTTTGAAATTCCCATTGGGCAAGGTGATTCTCTGATATATCCTTGAAATGAAAAAGAACTCTTCCTCTTACTTTTTAGGCTCAGTGGGAAAGAATTTGGCCAGCAAGACCAACGTGTACATCTCTAGCAGTGCCGGGGCCCGGTGGCGAGAGGTCAGTGCCCACCCTGCCTGGTTGATGTGTGTGTGTGAGGATGTGGATTGCACCTTGGTGTTTCAGGGACAAGCATGGTTCCCAGTGGTCACCTGAGATGCCCAATACAACTGTAAAGTAAAGAGAGGGACCCAAAGCCACACATGAGAACCGGCTGCCCTGATTTTTATTCACCCCTTGTTATGTGGACTCGCAATTTCCCCAGATGTTACTTTAAGTGAAAAAGGAAGCTTTCACTTTTTTTGTGAAAAACAACTGTGAATTTGACCAAAATTTCCAAGATTATCCAATCCATGAGGGCAAAGACAGTGTCTGCTGTGCTCACTTCTTGACCACCAGGCCGTAACCACGCCTGGCATGAGCGAGTGCTCAGTCAATATTTGCTGAGGGTATCAGCAAATGACAGGGTAGCTGTGATGGTGGTATTTTTCTGTGTAATATTGGAGCGGAAGTCTTACCTGTGGGCATTTCCATCTCATTCTGTGCTGCGGAAGGAGACCATTTCTGTGTTAAGGTGCCCTAACTTGCTTGTATCTTCAGCACTTATTATTGCCAGCTCTGAAGGTGCAGCTGGTTCTCCAGCCCCAAGATGCCAATTCAACTTCAGCCTTGGGGGTTAGGGAATTCTCAAACCTGGAAAAAGGTATTTCTCATCTGCCTCCCAAGACTTTAAGGCCAAAGGAAATGCTTCTGGTCTTATTCTGAAGGGATTGCTTTCAGTGGTGACCCTGAGGATGCCAGGAACCATCAGGGTAAAACTCAGCCCCTCAATAGGCAGGAGTTGCTTGAGCACCATGTCAGGACACTTTTATATTTAAATCTGTAATGTATTAAACAATAACTATGCCCTACATTTTTTTTGGCTCTGTAGTTTATAGAGACTGTTACACACCTTATCTTATGTGTGTCCAGTCTTGCCACCCTTCCAAATGAGAGATATAGGGCCCAGACACTGTGTGTGTGTGTGTATGTATATGTGTGTACGTGCGTGCATGTGTGTGCGTGCACGCACATGCTTGCACATGCGTATATTAAGGCCTGTACACAGCATGGTAGGGAACATAGTACACATGGTGAAGTGAGGGAGGTTGATAAGAACTGAGTAGTTAAAAGTGAATGGCTTGGAATTTTCTGGTCTTTCTTTTCCTGCTTCCCCAGGAAAGAGTAAGCAGTTGCCTTCTCCTTCCTTGGAGCTGGACATTCCTTTTGGAATTGGGTGTCCTCTCCTCTGTGAATAGGCCTGTGATTTGTTTGTACCTTCTGCTGTTGGTATAAGCGGGCGTCTGAACATGTGCAAGTGATTTCCTCCTGGGTGGAAAGCTGAGTCTTGTTCCTTCTCCACTGCTGTCGTCTGGCTGTTGTGGACTGCTGTCAGGGCCTCCCTGCAGCATGCTTGATGCCTGTAGCAGCCAGCACTCAGGAACCTTATTTTGGGGACTAGCAGAGAACTAGCAAGGGGATGAAAATGTTGAGACTGTGTCCCTGAGGGAGCCTCTATGCCTCTGTGGATGGCCTTTGCTTCAGGGGCACAGTCTGGGGCATGTGGCAGGCAGAGGCAAGGGAGGAGGAGGTAGGACGGAGCAGGCAGAGTGCTGCCTGGGACACTGGTGACAACAATTCTGGTTCTCCTCTTCCTACTAATGAATTGTGCAGTTCTCTGATCCTCAGAATTCTTTTCTTAAACTTTCTTCTTTAGTGATTTTATTGAGGCACACAGAAGTGCAGTAAACTGCTCATATTTAAAGAGTTTAATTTCATAAGAATTGACCACCACCATCACAGTTTAGACCACAGACATTTCCGTCACTCTCTCCCCTAAGTGTCTTTGTGTCCTTTTTCAATACATGCTCTTTCCAGTTGATATTTTCTAGAATTTTATATAAATTGACACACCGTATTTGTTCCTTTTTGCCTGGCTCCTGCCACTCATCCTGATGATTTTAATTCCTTCCATGTTATTTCATGTATCAATGATTCCTTACTTTTTTTAAATTGCTGATATGCATCCCCCTGTAGGGATTTATCACAATTTGTTTATCCATTCAACTGTTGATGAACTTCCAGTTTTCACTTCTTACAGATGTGGCTATAATGAACGTTCATGTACATCTTTTTTATGTGGGTCCTTTTCTTTTCTCTTGAGTAAATACCAGGGAATGGAATGGTGGGGCAGTGTGGTAGGTACATGCTGAACTTTTTAAAGGGCTGTCAGATTATATTTCAGAGTGAAGACACTTTACCTTTCCATCAGCACTGTGTGAGAATTCTGCTGTTCCACTTGCTTGCTAGAACTTCAGATCATCACTCTGTTTAATTTCAGTTTATTCCCCATCCCCCTGCCCCCGCCCTGTGTATTATTTTATGTATTTAATTGTCTTAGGCATTATGTTTAGGTTTATGATTCATTTGTTAATTTTCACATATGGTATAAGGGAAGAGTTAGCAACTTTTTTTTTTTCTAATTGACCCATTTATTGGAAAGCCTTCTTTTATCACTTTTTCTGCTTATTGAAAATACTTTTTCCTGTTGAATTGCTTTGGAACTTATGTGAAAATCAATTGGCAACATGGTCTGTTTCAGGGCTTTTTGCTGTTGCATTGATCTATTTGTCTGTCTATTCACCAGTATCAAATTGTCTTAATTACCAAAGTCTTATTAATAAGTATTCAGTCAAGGAGGGCTAAGTTCTCCATCTGTTTATTTTTAAAATTGCTCTTTTCCTGTGAAGATCCTTTGTATGTTCATTCACATTTCAGAATCAGCTTGTCAGTTTCTAAAATCCCATTAGGATAATGATTAGAGTTACATTGAAGACAATCTATAAGCAATCATACCATCTGCAAAGAGGGGCAGTTTCATTTTTTTTCTGACCTTTTTTTTTTCTCTTTTTTCCCCACCCCCATTTTCCCTCTTCTGTCCTTTCTTTCCTCTTACCATGACTCGTATCTCCATACATTGTTGAATAGAAGTGGTGAAATGGCATTCTTGCTTTGTTCCCTGTCTTAGGGGGAGCGATTCAGCTTTTGTAAAGGGGAAACCATTATATATACTGTTGGCAATAGATTTTTATACATATACTCTATCAAGGTGTGGGGGATTCGCTGTAATTCCTAGATTGTTGAATATTTTAAAATCATGATTGGGTACTGAATTTTGTTAATTGCTATTTTTATGTTGATTAAAATAATATAAATTTTCTCTATTGTTTTGTTGATGTGACATGTTACATTAATTGATCCTTGAATATTAAAGCAACCTTTATTTGCTGGAATAAACCTTACATGGTCATTATGCATTTTCACTTTTATATATGGATAGGTTTAATTTTCTAAATTTGTTAAGAATTTTTGTATTCTTGAATTTTTATATTTTTGTAAGATAATAATATATAATTTAATTGTTTGGTAATATCTTTATCAAGTTTTTATATTACTATTTGCTATCATGAAACAAGCTGATTAGTAATCCTTCTTCCTCTGTTTTCTGACAAAGTTTGTGTGAAGATTGGTGATATATTTTCTTTACTAATTTAAAGAAAGAGGGAAATTTTCTAGGCATGATAGGACTATTCAGACTTTTTCTTTTCTTTTTTGGTCAGTTTTAGAGTTGAAGAAATCTGTCTCTTCATCCAAGTTGTTGCATTTGTTGGCCTAATCTCATTAGTTGTGTTTCATTATTATCTTTTTAATGTCTGTAGTATCTTTGGTGGTAATTTCATTCCTGATGTTGGTATTTTTTTT